AAAAGCATGATCAAACTTGCCTATAGCGAATCATTGGGAGACCTTGGTGGAAGAAGGAATTCATAAACCATATCAAAAGGGGTCTTGCCTGATTGAGATATTCTTCTTTATTTCATTTGGACCTCGGAAGGAGTCTTCTTTGTCACTACTTATGATATCAGATGAGTTTTCAATTAAGCATGTACTAATTGAAATAGTTCAAGAGAAATCAAAAGATCTTAGCTTTCACCTTAAAGAACCTTTTCATCACTTAAAGAACTTAAAGAAGAAATAAAATTTCTTTGTATAGATCTATACCACCTTTTGATATTCTAACTGTTTCCTAAAATCAAATATATTCAATTAGAGGGAAACCTTTTCTAGAACTTTCTTTTCTATATCATTCATGATATGATAAGAATATATAAGTATAATCAATAAGAGCTTGTTTACTTTTTCTAAACCAACATGTTTTATATCAACCAATTACCTTTGGTAAGGATTTGTACTATCCAAAATTTAGGATCAAACTGAGATAGGCAAAATTTCTCAGAAAACTATAAAAGTAATAGCTTTAAAAAGCACATTAATGACTGAAAGAGAAAAAATAAATTCTTCTGTCATCAAAAACCTCTATATATCTTTTATTTTAAAGATAGAAAAGGCTTTTATGTATTTTACTATTGGTTCTTTTTCTTTTGAAAACTTTCTTGCTATTGATATTAAAGGTATTACTTGACTTGTTTTTGGTCACCAGAAGTCAAATTTTTAATTAAAGAGGATTATAAACAAGTAAGGGAAGATAAAGATGACTCTTGAAGTCACTCTTCTCTTCAAGTGTTTTAAGAAAAGTATTAAAGATTTTATTAGCAAAGAAACAAAAAACTTCTTGCAAACATCTTTTTTGTATATGATCAGAGGATCAGCAAAAAGAGTTTTTTTTTTAAGACAAACTATTATAATATAATTATAAATTAAAAAAATTTTTTTAATATAAATTTTAATTAACTTATTATTGATAATTGTATATTAATCAGATTAAAAAAAAAGATAATTGTATATTAAGATAAGCTATCATTAATCTAACTATATATAAAAATATACTGTATAAGATAGTTAAATGTCATACTAGAAAATCAAGTATACACGTGATTTAATATGATAATTTATACAAAAAAAATTATTTCCCTATAAAGAAAAGTCATGTGACACTCTAACCGAATTAATGTACTATTTCCAGTTCACGAGGCACGATTCGCGCGGCATCTCAGCCTTCTGACCAATTATACATATGATATAACTTTTCCACGGCACTCAACTTATACAAACCTTTTTCTTTTATTTGACATGTAAATATTCATTGTCAAAACGCCTTATCATTTAAAAGTTGCATTATATATCATAAATTTTGCATACTGCTACATTATTTTCTTTTTCTTATATCACGATCTTGGATAATATAACGATGATATTGGATTTTTTTCCTTTTGTTCAGCTTCTCGTAGCAATTATTGCTCTTGTTATAGCAAGCCGGTTTAATAATACCACGATACAATTCATAGCTAAAGCAATCTTTATTGTAATCCTAATACTTCTATTCTCAGCCATTGGAAGCATCGTAGCCATAATCTTCACACTTATTGGGAAACGTGGCCTCATTAATTGGGTTGTAGCACGAGGGTACGCATATATTGCGGGCGGTGCCGTTGGAATATCTTACAAGGTCGATGGCGAGGAATATATTAATGCTGGACGTCCTGCGATCTATATATGTAATCACCAATCCGCCGGAGATCTATTCGTTATGGGAAGAATATTTCCCAAAAATTGCGTCGTGATCAGTAAATCATCATTAAAATTCGTTCCGATAATGGGCACATTTTGTAAGTAAGGTTTTTCTTTCTTTTTTTTTTTTTTTTTAGCAATCTCATGCCTTATTCTAATTGAATGAATTTTTAAACTCCGATGAAATATTGTGGTTATTGAAAATTGGTTAAAAAGGTGAATGTCATTTCGGATTGTAATTGTATGTCAAGAAGCCGAGATTGATGATTATATTACTCCAAATATATGGATCATACATTAATTAATAATTTCTCGATTGCTATTGTTGGATTGCATTAGTGATTCTTGGCCGAGCAGTATTTCTTGATCGAAAAAATCACAATGGCTCCGTTCATGCGTTGTCCAAGGCCGCCCAAGATATTAAGAAACTCAAGGTAGGGCTAATTAACTGCACTTGGTTTTCCGATTCATCTGCTAAAAAAAAAATTTTTTTTTTTTTTTTTTTTTTTTTTTTTTGCTAATCAGACAAGCGCATTCATCTTCCCGGAAGGAACGCGTGCTCGACTAGACGAAGCCGATCTGTTACCGTTTAAGAAAGGCGCGTTTCACATGGCAGTACAAGCGGGGATTCCTATAATTCCAATTGTTGCAGCAAATTATAGTCATATCTATAGTTCAAAGCACAGAATTTTTCGCGATGGACAACTTCATATTAAAGGTATCATGTCCATGCACGTATAATAAATAATTCTATGACTTTATCCCTTTCATTAATCTTCATGATTAATTACAACACAGTCCTGCCGCCTATCGAAACCACGGGTATTGATAGTGACGATAAAGAGCTGATTGATGCGTTGGCAAAAAAGTCACGTGACGCCATGTTGAAAACATTGAAGGAAATCTCATCACATACGAACGGTGCTATAGCAAAAGGTTCAACTAATGGGAGCGATCTTTAATGAACAAATAGTATAACATAAGCATTATCATCATTATTATCATCATTATTATCATTATTATTATTATTATTGCGAGTAAATGAATGCAAGGTCATATACTGTAACGTGTGATTAAAGCATATTGGACGTAGAATAATTATTGAGCGTAGTTTCATTCTTTTTTCCTTGTAAGTTATACACAGTGGAAATAGTGAAATGAGTAAATATAAATTCGTGCGATAATGATATATCATCACTTCAAAATGACTAGATATCGAAATTTTTATATTCTGTTTCTAGTGTAAAAAATGAGTGGTCATCTATTTGTATACAAACCGAAAATGTAAGTTATATATAAAAATGATGTATAGATAGCTCATTTAAATGAGAATCGAATTTAAAATCACGCTTCGAGATGTTACTGATCCACCATGCTTAGTAAAAATTTGATGACTTCGGGGTTCACCCACCTTTCAGTTTTCATATGACAATACTCATTATTTTAACGAACAGAATATATGGTCATGTTCAGGTCCTCGAAAAAATTTTAATATTCACGTTCAGTCTTAGATCACCTTTTCCCCAGTTTTCCAACTCCGATAGGTGGGGGCGGTGGTGGTGCACGTTGTGGTGTACCTTGCAGTGCCAACGTCGACAAATCAAGTGGGACCGCTATAGATCAAAATTTGCGTTTTTTGTTTTTTAGAAAAAACTATTACATAACATGATGGATGAATGAGATGAAATAAAATACATACAGCTTCCCGTGGATGCACCCGAAGGATATATTTTCTTAAAAGAAGTGAATTTACCAGGAGGCGGAAACTGAGTTGAAGGGTGAAATGACCAACGACCTTCTGTCTTTGGTTCTTGTGCCACTGCTATTGTGATAGCACCATTTAATAAACTTGAGATTATTGAATCAGTAACAGATTAAGATTAGAAATAACATACACTTTGTGGAAAATTTTGGTGGACTGAGTGCCCTTCGCGCAGTTGACCCATTTATCGGTGGCGAACGAGCACGCTGTGGTGGAAGAACTGGTAATGAAAATTCCAACTTTGTGGATATGTTTGTGGATGTCGCTGATTTATTGGGTGGCGGCGGAGGTGGTTTTTTGTTCGATGATGAGGATAATGATGATGATGGTGGTGGTGGTGGTGGCGGCGGACCTTTTGTATTTCGTGAAGGCAGGGAAGGTGCCGCCGCTGCCGTCGTTGTGCGAGCTGGAGTAGGTGGTGGTGAGGCTTTAGGTGTACGAGACGGCAATGGCGGTGCGGCAGTGTTACGATTCGGTGGAGTAATCGAGTTTAAGCTAGCTGCGGCAGCTTTGCCAAGACTCCTGGGGAGTGTATTTCTTGTTGGTAAAATTGGAGGTGAAGGAACGGTCGCAGTCGCACGGTTACCTGTACTTGGAGCCCTTGGGCGCCCACCAGGCAAGGGCGGTGGTACCGCTAAATCTGATTACATAGAAAGTAAATTAAATCTCAAGTATACGCTCTAAAATCGAATTATGTAAATATACTCACCATTGTCTTTGCTATCCGAATCAAGACCACCGCGACTCTTTAATTTTGGAACGCCACCAGCAAAAAGACCTCCAAGACCCATAGGCATTGGTGCCTGTGTGGCACCATTATTTCTAGCAGAACCAGAACGACTTCGAGACTCCCCACCTGATGCGCTTGCGGAGGACTTGCCTATTTAACAAAACGAACGGTAACATTATTTAACAGTGAAGTAGAAATAGTCATCGTCCATGTAAAAATAATGCGTTTTGCACTAAAATAAAAATTCCCTCAACCTTGACTTCAACCACTTCTTTGATGCTAAATCATAGAGTCAGCAACTTACCGTCTATAATCGGAGCTGATCTATCATTTGTAACAGTTTTCTTCAACCTTTTTCCCTTTTGGATATCGGAAAGTAAAGCATTACGAGAACTTGAAGGTGGTGGCGCAGCATTGGCGGGAGGAGGCGGCGGTGGTGGTGGTGGTGCGGGCATTTCTTTCAAGGTGTGAATATTCAAGAGAGGAAACTTTGCTATTGCTGAATATTTATAGAGCTGCCAATGTCATATGACGTATTTGGCCAAGTGAATTACGTATTTAGAAGAACTTTTATTTTTGGTAAAAAATCTACTCGTGCAGCTACATTTGTTTTCGAGTGAAATTTCCGGATCATGAGAATGTAATTAATTGGTTCCACGTGACTCTACTGCGAAATTTGTGAAAATCGCCCGGTTCAACTTAAATTTAAACGTGAATTAAAAGAAGTTGGATTACGATTTCCGAATTTAAGCTTCACAATCTAGTTAGCAATTTACGGCTTACGATTCAAGCTTCACGTTTACAGCTTATAGTTAGCAATTTATTGCTTACGGTTTTCGAGCTTCACGGTCTACGGCTTCCGAATTTTCTATATGCCGGCGAAATTATCCGAAAATATATGATTATTGCAGTAGAAATGCAGCTGTATGCTGTATAAATGTGTACGGAGAAAACCCTCGTATTTAGTGCGTACCATAAAATACTTTCTGATTTTCGAAAAAAAAAAAAATGCCAACCGAAATTGTGGCTTTGTTTATTATTGAATCTTTAATCTTTGCTACGCCATTTTGTGCGCTCTCTTTTTTATTGGTAACTCCCCCTTCCTACGTTTCGTCTTCAAAAAAGCGCATTCTTTCAATACCTTTTATTGTTGTTCTAATATTAACTCCAATTAAATTAAGTTGTAATGTGCTTTTTCTGGACACATTTTTTTCAACAATTGCTATGGCCTCATGCTTCCGTTACTTGGATATATTTTTTGTCAGCTCATTAATTAAAAACACGGAAATATACACTTCTTTATATCAAATAAAATGTGAGGCGCTTAAACCATTCAGAAATCTTCAGAGTCACCGATTGCACAAATCTCACAGCAAAATCAATTCAAAGTCTTCGTTCTCAATCTTACCATCCACCATTACTTTTTTATTGATTCAAGGAGGAATTTACTATTTTCTACAACATTTTACTGTCGAATCAATCTTTCTTTTGCCAAGATATCAATTCTTGTTGTTTGGACTTGTATGCGGCTTTTGTATCCAGGTTAATATGGAGATAGCGAATAGACTTTTAATATTTTTCTCAACCCTTATTTTGTGTGATGGCGAATATGACGAGAATGAATGGCACTTACTGTTTAATGAAACATGGAAATCAACATCGCTTATAAATTTTTGGTCAGAACGTTGGCATCAGGCATTTAGAGAAATTTGGATCTCCCTAGCATATAAGCCATTACGAAGTTTTATACGGAGCAAATTCGTTCCACTGTTAGGTCAGAAATTTAAACAATTTGGGAATGTGCTCGAACTTACCATTCCAATCGTAGGTGTTTTCATTCTCAGTGGAATAATGCACGAGTACATTGTTTGGACTACGTTATATCCTTTTTGGATTCCGGGCGAGCAATTTCTGTTCTTTATGTTGCAAGCAGCCGGTGTAATACTTGAAAAGTTGCTTAGTCAGAGGCGATTGATTCCATCTACAAATTTTTCAAACCTGTTTGGCTGGTTGTGGACGTTGGGATTCTTATGTTTCACCATCCCTTATTTTTTAAATCCGTATATTAAGAGCAAGCCTTGGTAAATTATAACTGTAACCTGATCCTTTACTTTTCATTGTAAATTATTTTCGGCCTCATATAATATATAGTATTTTTAGACCATACGTGACCATCACTTTTGCTTTTAAAACTGTTATATTGTTTGAATATTTTTAAGTTCTGAAATCTGATTCGTCTGTAATTCGAAATACTCTTAAAAACGGAATTGGAGCTTAGCTAAATTCTACGGATAACCTACAGTATCAATAAAACTTTTGATTTCTATTTTATTACATAGGCTAATACCTGTTCGAAACTTTTATTTGTGAATAACCCGTAGCCAGGCTAGGTTGTGAGTTTGTTATTTAAACAAATGCAAAAATACGTATTCATTCGAGCAACATGATACATACTATAGCTAAACTTCTATAACAAATCTAACTTAAAATAGATATAAAAAAGCCTTCAAGTTTAATCTTGAGAATACAGTAATACAGTATGTTATTTTATATAGAGCTTGAATAAAGATTCTTTTGGTCTATATATTATTGTCAGCAAGTTATCACTATCAATTATCTTATCAAATTATTGAAATACAGAAAATTGCACAAGGGGATAAATTGAAAAAAAAAATATATAGATATACTGTATATATACAGTATAAGCATGTTATAAAAATGAAATAAATAATACAAAACATGTTAGTAATAGAATGTAAACAAACTTCTATTGGCCATATTCATGTGTTCTGATGATATTATTGATAAAGGAAAGAGAAATTATTGATGTGAAATTCTTCACTTCTTCAGATAAAGTGTAATTGAAGTAAAGAAATCATGAAATCATTAGGACAAACATTAAATTTCCTAGATATTAAAAAAATGATTATTTGTTTAAGTCAAGATCTTCAAGTTCTTATCATTCTGATCAAGCAAAGTATATGAAAGAGATTAATTTCCTTATCCTAGTTAGATAGTAAGATCAAAAAATAGAAGATTGAAATTTACTACTCTTCTTTAGAATTGAGAATATATTTTTTCAAACATTATATAATAATATTATTATTAATGAAAATTTTTATTACTCTATAATACCTTTTCACCATTGTAAAGCTATTAGAAAATTTAACTTTTTAAGCAATAAAAAATACTTATCAATAAAAATATTTTAATTATGTGTAACTATTGAAAGATATTGGAAGTTATATAAAATAATTGAAAGGTTATATAAAAACTTGAAATTTATGATAAGTTATTTTCTTTTGCATGGGTAAATACAAAATCAATATCATAAAAAAAAAGCATTAAGCAAAACACTAGATCCAAATAAGAAATAAGTATTTAAGATAGTTATAAGATTATGGATAGATAGGTTCCTTAAACAATTAGAAAAAAGAAGAATATTTCAAAAAAATTGATTTTTAATAAGAAAAAATTTCTAATAGAAGTTCTTTAGAAGATATGAAACAATTTTATTTTATTATTATTATTATTTTTTTTTAAACCACAACTGGTATTAGATATGAGCACTTTTTATTAAAAATTAACTTAACATCTTAGATAATAAAATCCTTTAGAACATGACATCAATCATCTCATACAAACTATATACTGTATTTATATATATATACAGATTAATGATAACCTATTGTAATTTTCTCTAGGTGAACCTATTACCACTCTATAAGTGAGACAAATCCAGCTAGGGGCCAAATGATCAAATATACAGTTATAAACAGCAAAACAGACTAATTAAGTAGTGAAATTTATAAATTTTTATATTATATTCACTAAACTAGGCTGTATAGTATGTACCTGATGGGGAAAAACTCTTTCCGCCGATCCTCAATTTTTCAGAAAATTTCCTTTTTTGGTAATTTTTTGAGAAAAAGAGAAACCAGTCAAAAAAAAATAAGAGAAACCACCTTTACAACTAAACAACTCACAAAAACAAGTTCAAGAACTCTTTACAGAGTGCAGAAGAGGTAAG